GAACCCCCCACGACGATAACCTCGGGGGGGCAGCGACCCGGGGCACAGGCGTCCTCCCCGACACCTCGGCTCAGGAGCAGCCTTGGCCAGCAGAGCCCATTCCCACCTTGCTCCTGGGATCCCACCCGGTGCCCTGCCCAGGGAAGCGGAGGGGGGACGATGAGCGCTCTCAAGAGCGGATTAGAGCAAGCTCTTGAGTACTTCCCATACTTGGGTGCAGGGAAAGCGATGAGCACCCCATGAGTAATTCCTTCTTGTTTACTGGCGGGGTGTTTACACGGGAGCTTCAGCACCATGGGAAAGGGGCTACAAAAGCATCTCCCTAAAAGCAAGGCCAGCAAGAAAGCGCTGCCATTCCCCAGCCCGCCAAAGGGCAGAGGCAAAGCTGCCCCTGTTCAGTGCAAGGTATGGCAGAGATGAACAAGACCTTGGGAAGGAAACTGCAGTCGTAGCTACTGCACGCTCAGGAAACACTGGACCCAGAAGGCAGAACAAGAAACCCTACTGAAAGCCACAAGCACGCTCATCCGTCCAGCACAACCAGCCCACCCGCTGCTCCCAGAGCTTCACTCTACTGCTGAAGCAGAGACCAGTTACTCCCCATCATTGCTAAGCTGGACATTGCTGATCTTGGCTCAGAATCATCCACGACCCCAGTTTTACAGCCTCAGTTTCCTGCGTCAATAGTTTTCTGAAGATGGCTCAGGTGACATCAGTTTTCCTGCCCCAGGAGCTTTGAGGCTCCTGCTGTCCCAGTAACTCACCAGTGCAAGCGAAGAGCATGGAGGAAAGCAGAGAGCCCCTCCATGACCAGGAGAATCGCCACCGTCAGGGTGGCGAAAGCAGCAAAGATGAAGAAGAGGCCCAAGCCTCCACCCAGGCTCCTCACGCTGAGGCCAATGTGGATCACCATGGTCCAGAGCACCTCCGAGAGCTCTGCAGGAGAAAGGGGAGAAGAGGGGTCACTTCAGAGCGGTCGGTGAGCGCAGGGTTGTTCCGTTCACGTAAAGCAAAATCTCAAGTCAAGCAAACTCCCCCCGCAGTGAGGTGGGAACCAAGGGGGACGATGGCTCTTGCAGCCAAGTACGTCAGGACTCTGCCTGCTGCTGTCACACACGGTGCAGGGCAGAGCCTCTGCTTTAGTCACTGCTTTCAGCTCCATCCCTCCCTATTCGCAGAGCTCTGTGCGGGCAGACACTGGTGTTCAGACTCCATTCCTCCCAGCTGGTGCTAACACAGCTCTGCCCTTCCTCAGCAGTGCTTGAGCTGAGCTCTGAGAGGCTCCCTGCATCCCCACCTTCCACCTCCCGCCTGCCCAGGGCAATCCAAACCTCAGCTCCACAAGGAATACTCACGTGCATGGGCTAAGCTGAGAGCCCAGAGCCTCAGGTAGGACGCGGTGTTCGAAATGCACCCCAGGCAGTACTCGATGGTGTGGATGGCCTGGTACACCACGGTGTCCCCGAAGTCAAACTGCAGAGAGAACACGGGCGATGGGGAGAGCTGAGCCCCAGCACGCTGCCGGGGCCGCTGCCCGGGCCGTGCTGGTTGAGGTTCCACACTGACACGGGCTTCTCCTGGCTTAGCATGGAGGTGGGGTAGAGGAAAAGTGACCTCTCGTCTGCTCGTGGCAGAACGATGGTTCATCGCTGCAGCCGCAGCATTATTGTTTTCACATTCTTGCATATCAGAGCAAGACAGCTCAAACTGAGCCATGGGCTTTGCCAGGAAAAGACTGTTCAGCAGCAAGGTCGTGTTCACATGAATTCACCAGTAAAGTGTATGCACTGCTATGGAAAAGGAGACAGTATTCCAAGCCGCTACTGCTGCCTCTGTACCTTTGCTACAGGACAAGAGCATTCTGAAGATACAAACGTGCCCTTTGGAAAGCAAAACTAATGCATAAAGCAACTGTGAAAGAGTCACATCTGCCTCCACTCACTGGCCAAGCCTCTGGGCCTCGGTAGTTTTCTGAAATAACACAGGATCTTATAAGGAAATCTGCCATGTGGGACAGTTTCTTACTCTGCAGCCTGGGAAAAAGCATTCCCTGCAGTTTGGATTTAATCCATGCTTCAGAAACTGCTCTTATTTAAGTGAAGTGAACACGATGTTTTAAATACATCGGGTGACTAATGCTCTAAGCACGCACAGAAAGCTATTTATATTCTTCTTTCTCCCCTAGTGGATGCAGGGCAAGAACTGTGGCAAACAATGAAGTTAAATCAGATGTCAAAAGCCTAATTCTTTCTCCACAGAACATGAACTGCGAAGGCTGAAGCCTGCCCCAAGGAACAGTGTCTGTGCCCCTCAGTTCCAGCTGCCCCTGTGTGTAACAGAGCTCTAGGCAGAACTACCTGCAGCATAACTTGCAGCGGCACCACTGCTGGGAAGCTGCTCTCATTTCATGGCATTTACAGCTTTTGTGATAGAACTGGTTACCTGACAGTGCAGAAGCCCACAATCAACCCTGCAGGAGTATTCCTAAACCCCCTATTTCTTTAACACTCCTACTTGCTACAAGTGTTCACGAATGAGCAGTTTCTCACAACTTCTCTTCTACAGCAAGATCCCGGTTAGTTATGCTGATGAACTCTATGAAGCTGGGCTGCTTTTGCTGTATTTGCTGACTGGCAACAACCTGGATTATCCTTAAAATGGCAGATAGTTTGGGCAAAGACAGCTTTAAAGAGCTTGTTGCAGTGCAGAGTGACCACAGACACAGCACAAGGCAAATGAGACTTCTGCAGAGGTTTAAAAGCAAAAACTTCCCAGTTTCAGACTTCCAGCTTTCTGGGTAAGCTAAGGAAGATCTGCAACAGAGGGGCAGACAAACAAGCTGTGTAGGTGAAGTAAGTAAAGGTCTGTTAATGGGCATGTATGTATGAGGAATTCAAAATGGCCCGTAACACGGAAGTAGCCAGGGCTTTTGGAAAACAAGATGTTGTGACATGTTTAACTTGGCACGTGTTTTACACCAATGGGAAATGGTCCAGATACACATGAAGGCAAAGCTGGCTGTAGTCTTACCACCTCATCCTCTGCAGGCTTGAAAACATAAGTTTACATTTAGTGCAGTGTCTCGATCACATTCATCATGAACATGTTCAACAATCCCCTCCTAAACACAGTAAAACACACATCACATGCACGACAGAGGCAAGATACTGCTGAAGAGTTGCTAAGAGGCAGCAGAATACACCCAAACTACATGAGATCAACTTCTGCTCTACCAGAGCTGAGGCAAAGCAATTAATATCCCCAACCACCCAAATGAGCAGAACCAAGATTCCACTGCTCCAGAAACACAGCCCCGGGGCTTTGCTGACCCCGGAGCAGCAGGCACCAGCACTGCTCTTCAGCCAGAGCAGAGGCTGCATGTGCCACCCAGGAGTGCTCTGCAGCTCCCACCGTGCAGCCCCATAGATGAGGACAAACAGAGCCCCCTTGCTCTTTATATGCAGATTATACTGCTTTTTCTGGAGTCCTGGGAACAACCAAGAGAGAGTCTGTATGAAAACTGCCATGAAAACCCTTCACTGAGAGTGTTGCTATTTAAACAGCTTGGCAATCAGGAAATGCAGCCAAAAAGCCAGCACATTCCTGTGCTGGGAACACTGCCCTGAGAGAGGGTGGTGCTTACCTCCTCCCCCTCCTCGGAATGGGTAGATAACTGGTCATGTTGAATGATCTCAGCATCCTCCTCAGTCGGGCCATTGCCCACCCGGATCCCACCGAAGTTGTGTGTTCCCTAACACGTGCAGAAAGAGAAAGAGCAAAGGGTCGTTTGTGTTTCACTGCAGAGCATGTTTCTTATGAGTCCACGTGCAGCAGCAGCTCATAGAGGGAAACAAAACATTAAGTATGAAGGCTCAGGTTAAACCAGCTGGACAATTCTATTTCCCAGCTTGGATGGGAAAGATGCTGCTTCCTGCTAGGGCTGGGGAAAAGAAGTCTGTCTGAGTGAGTACTGCATACATTTCCACAGAGTAATTGCAACCCAAGGAAAAGAAAAGGCACATCTCTCAAGAGGACATTTGCTGGCACCGACGTGCAACAGACCAACGTTGTGCCCAGCAGCTGGGGCACAGGCACTCACACACCACGGCTGTAGTAAATGGAACAGTCACATCGTGGCAAGTCGAAGCAGAAGAGACTGACACGAACACACACACTTGCTCCCCACCAGCGCCAGGCAATCTAACAGCACTCATGGGAAACCAGACTTTCCCTTACTTGGAAACCCTGCCTCCTGCAAGCAGGTCCTTTTTTAGACATTTGTTCTGCCATTCCACGTCTGACCTCGGCTGTACCAGCCCTGCGCTCCGAGTGGAAAGGAATCCTCCACAGCCCGAGCTGGAACTTTGAGAGCTCTTCCCACCTCACTGGGATCACTGCAGAGTTAACACCTGATGCATGGCAGGCTTCCTCCATTCCAGCTTACCTCCAAGAATGATGCACAAACCTGTCCCATCATCTGACAGTGCCCTCAAGCAGGGCTCACGTGCATCGGAAACACAACGAATGCACATCGCTAGCTCTGGGTGTCTGCTCAGCAAGCAGTGCTGGGCACTCTACAGCAGGATTTCTCTCTCCCTCCAAAGACAGAAAATGCTCATGACTGATCTGAGGGACTATAAATTAAGACCTGCGAGTCTGAAACGCCACTGGGGAAGGGACCAAGTCCTGGGAGCTGCTGCGACCTTCACTCCACCAGAAAGCTTTGGCAGTAAAGGGCTGACTGTAGGTTCAGACACAAAGAAGTAGAGGCAACTGCTGCTAAAAGACTTATTTGTGCACAACCTCTTTCTAATAGCTTCAATTCAAAGTTTCTCCAAGGGTGCAGGTGTCAGAAATCCCGTGATTACTGACAGGAAGTTGCTGGGAGGCCATCACATAAACATGATGTTTGGGAACACATAATGCAAACAGAAATGCTTCACTGAAAAGAATCCTCATCTGTCTTCAACAAATATGCAAGAAAAAGGAAAGAAAAGGGGAACTTAACCTGGGGGATGTGGCATTCTCGTGCTGCTCTGCAGGGTTTGAGTTCAGCAGCACTCCTGCATTCTGTGCACACATAACTATTATCCTTCAGCCTGGTAGTTCTTCCAGAATGTACCAATTTTGCTGAACTTTGCTCTTTCCAAGAGAAAGTGTTTTTCACCCTAAAGGTGCAGTTGTCATTCACTTAGGGAATTCAGATACATTCCATGCTCTCTTGATCATTAGATAGAAAGGCAACTCCCATCCTTAAATCCATCAGGTGATTTTTAAATCCACTCACTGTCGCAGGCGCTGCTGCCTCTAGTGCCTGCTCGTTCGGGACTGTGCTGACCTGGGCCTCCACGGGCTGCCCTTCCTGATAGTGAATGGAAGAAAAGAAAGGGAGGAGGAAGAGAACAAAAAGAGAGAGGGAGACGAATGGAGGGGACATGGGAGGATGAAAGATGGTCAGAGAAGGGAGAGGGAGTGTCTTTAACTGAACTCATCTTTGACTCACTTCACATCCCAAAAGCTCTCTGCCATACGTGCAGGGAGAACTTTCAAGTCTCCCCAGTGCACGTGTGCCAGGTTCCTACATTTTATATACAGATACTTTACAAACAGCTGGGCACCTAGAGGACCCCACAGACAGCCTCTCACACAACGACTGCCTAAGGCTACTTTGGGGTTTGTCCTTTTAATTGTTATTTTTTACCATCCAGACGGCTTTAAGGGGCAGCTGATCAGCCTGCCACCCCATCGGGGCCACATCTCTGCATGTACACTGCCAGCCTAGCAAAGGCACAGAAGTGCATCCAGCAACCAGCAGGAGAGCTGGCAAAGCCCCAGCCAGATAGATTGGTTTTGTCATTTCCAACATAAAGGGGTTTTAGAAGCAGGTTTGATGCTGGATGCAGATCTGAGAAGCAGGCAGGCAACACTGTGCCTCCAGTACAACCCACCTGCCTTCATGCCTAGGAATATGCATAAGACCACTTTGCAGGTCACACCGCAGTGTGAATCCACGTATCCAAGCTCAGGATGGAGAACGTGGCTTTTCAACCATCATTAGTTTTCGTACTGAAAATAGAAGAGGTAGTCACCCACCAAGTGCTTTCTCCTTAAATACTGATGGCGAAGGACCAGGGGTTTAGCTACCAGCATCCAGGGCACGCACAGTAACGCCACCACCACGAGGAAACACTGGAGGCCTTGCTGCAAAAGAAACAGGTCTCAGCTGATTCACATGCTCAGACACACACACAAAACCTAGCAAGAGCTTGCAGGCAGCCCTGAACAACTGGAACCCTGTACTTAATGCCTCCCGCACGCCCCAGCTGACTGTGCACAGCACGTAATGCTGGTACTGTGTTAGATTAGGGAATAATCCACAGGATTGTGCAGGGAATCAGGATGTGGCAGATGTCTGATAGTGCTGGGAGGAAATGGTACTAACATCTTAGCTAAGCTTAGAGGCACCACACTGCAGATGCAGGACAATATTCCTAATCACTTTCCACTACTAATCTGAATCCAAATGCTCTGGAGCCACAGTTGACATGTTCAGATTGATATAAATTCCTGGTATAGGGATTATTTCTTCCTTCTTCAACATTACATAGTGTCAGGCTTCAGAAGTGATGCCACATTTCCTCTATCACACAGGAAAAACGTTTCCTGCTCGATTTCACAATTATTTTAAAGTTAATCAGTATCATGAAGCCTTTCTGATCTTACTGAGCAAGAGCACGCACCTGCCCTTTATAAAGCATCTTATTACTGGTGTCACTATAGGAGAAGAGAAACATGTTGATGAAGTGTATTAACAGGCTGGGTGCATCCTTGGACGTGTGAGCATCGTAGGCTGTCCATTTGTAGAAAATGAGAATAACGAGGTATCCAAAGAGTGATGACATGAAAATCATCTCTGGAATAAATCCCAGGTAGATGTTCAGTGGCTTCTTAAAGTAGCTACGGGGGGGAAAAAAGGAGAGTTTAATGTTACATTTAGTCAGCATTATGTATATGTAGGGCAAAAAGCTTTTAACATCTTTAGGACAAAAGTGCAGGGGCTCAGCAGTAACTGGGACTTAAACCCAGTAACGATGCGACACGCATCGTTCTGCACAGCCAGCCAGGAACAACTGCTCTGCTCCTTCAGCAGAGGTTGAAGTCTGATGGGCTCCTGCAGCTTGAACTAACACACGCCCCCACCCCAATGAGGAAAACAGAGCAAAGCACTTACATGTGGTTGAGAAGACTCAAGGTGACACCGAAGAGCATGTGGATAATGCCAAGAATCACAGACATTTTCATCTTAAAGGAGTTGAGGAAGGCCAGCTTGTTGCTGGCAATATTCCAAATCTGTGGAAAACACCACGAGGTCAGCCCAGCACCCACCAAAAGGAAACCAGAGGAGGATGAAAACCTTCCCTTTAAGCTAAACACTATTAACCATCCAGGAAGCACTAGGCTGCAAGAGCACGTTTCTTTTCAAGATGTGTTTGTCACACGGGTATCTTTTAGGAAAACGAGCAGCCAACCTCTCCTGCTGGGAACACTTAGAGCAGAGCAGGACTCAAACCCTGCTTGGTTTTATGGTGGGCAAAAGTTGCAGGAAAAAAGGAGCTGTAGCCTTGACAGGAAAAAAAATATTTATCCATTTCACTGAACAATGACACATCGTTCTGATTTTCTGCACTTCCTGGGGATGTGGAACACACCATGTCTTGTACAAGCATTTTAAGTAGTGTTCTTGATGTAGGTGGATATAAAACGACAGGATTACTCAAAACTTACAGTTCCAAGACTGACCGATAAAGGTCAAAAAGTAACTTCATCAAGTGATTTGCAAGTCTAACCAGATCTGATTAAAACCCTGCAGGACAGAGAGGGCGAGAAAGAAGCCTTTAATGGACCTAGAACAAGTCTGTCCATCCTGAATCCAGCATTTCAGTGGAAGCTGAATTACTGTGATCATTCAGGAGCATTTCCAACACCGACTGCTAAGGAAATGGCTGAGCTGTGGGTACAGTGAACCAGGCAGGCACTTCTGTTGACACAGGGAGGTTCTTTAAGGACAGCAAAGGAAGGAATGGCTCTTACCGGGTCGATGCCGAAGGGGTAGGGGCCACCGAACACCCCGGGAATGGCGGGGTTCAGCTGCAGCAGAGGAGTGGTCTCAAGCAAGGCATCTCTGTTTGGGCAGAAGCAGATGATACAAACATTAACACAAGCAACACTTTCCTCTTTCTGTAAAAACTAAAGATGTTCTTCCCTTGTGAGGGCAAGGAGTGTCCCAAACTGAGAGAACATGAAGGCTCCTGCATGGGCCTAGGGATTTTCCTAAATGAGTAATAAATCTATTTCTTGACCCGTTGCTCGGTCAAGTCACAAGGAAGAAAGAAGCAGGGGGCAGGAATGTCTGTGAGGAGAAAGGGGCTAAACTACATCTTTACAAGCTTTCTGGAAGAAAAAAAAGCTGGTTTGAAACTCGCTGGACAGCACGTTCCACCCTCCCGCAGTGCTACTTGAGACTGAGCTCACAAGTTTGGTTCCCTGAGCAGGGAGGACAACAGGGAAAGATAAGTCACCTGCTCATCACTGTCACTCTTCAGCGAGTTACCAACTATTTACTCACGACCAGTTGCCTTTCGAGAACATGGGCCGGACACTCCATGATGAGCCAAAGAAATTCAGGGACTTGGAGAAACAGTCGTTGTAGATGAGGCCGGTGTAGGTGGAGAACAGTCCCATCAGCAGGATGATGTATCGGCCACTAAAAACCATGTTGAACATCTGTATAAAAAACAAGCCAAAAAGGAACAAAGAAAGTCCATGAGAACAAGGAAGCTGTCTCATGAAACAGTAAAATGACACAAGATAAGAACACCACCATATGGACTAGAAGCCCAAAGTTTCTATTTCCCCATGGGCAGGGATTAAGGGTGCAAGAGGCAGCACTGCAGAGGAGAATCTGAACCCAGAGGGTGAAGAGGCAGCGTGGCTGTGCACAGAGCAGCTGGGAGGAGCTGAAGAGGACAAACTGCACTGCACACACTCATGCAACCCCACAGCAGTTTAGAACCAGGCAGTGCAGACCCTGTTCAGCTCTCTCCGTGCACCTTAACTCTGGTTCACCTCCTGTCAGCCAAAGCCCTGAGCAAGAAAACCCACCTGGATCAGCAAATTGGAAGAATCGTGGAGATCTACATGTACAGGAAGCAGGAGTTTGCAGTGACTGAACCCCTTTATGATCCAACCAGGTTTTGGGTGATCTGTTTACAACAGTTTATCTACAGCACTTCCTTCAAACAACTGAAATCATTTCCTATAAATATCCCAGAGGAAACCCAAAGGAACTCACCACCATTATGAAATTATGCATGAGCAGCCACTTTACCTCATTGTCACTCTTCTGTGACAGAATCCGACTTTCCCGAAGCACCATCCAAACAGCAATGAGAGTCATCAGGATTCCATGGCCAAAATCTCCAAACATCACAGCAAACAGAAAGGGGAATGTAATGATTGTATATGGTGCTGCAAGAGAAAAGAGGACACTCCTCATGTGCTGTACTTGGGTAAGCCCCGATTTAGCACAGCAAAATTTATGCCCTTTAGCAGTGTAATTCCCAAGCTTCTCCTCTGCTTCCAAAAGGAGCGAGGGACTCTGTTAGGCATTTTCACACAGAACAAACAATACAGAGAAACCCTATAACTACAAAATTAGGAGGGATGCTTGGACGTCCCCATGTCTGAATGTACCTGGATTTATTTCCCGATACGTCCCAATGCCGTAAGCATCAACAATGTTTTGAAAGCCAGAAGTAAACTTGTTAGTTTTGTTGTATGTTGGTGGGGTCTGATTGGTTTGCATCCTGTTTAAAATAGATGGGACAGTGGATCCGCTGTGCTCCTGTTTAAACAAAGAGGAAGATCAGAAAACCCACCCTCCGAGCACCGGAGGACAGAGCACACCACCACTTCCTTGTTAGCACTGGAAAACACAAGCTTGCATGTCTGCAGCGTGCCTGCACCATGAGAAATGCACTTGAGCAGCTGAGGAAGGCTGCCAAGTTTCCACTGGTCTCCACCTAGTGCAGCAGGAGGAGCAGCACTTGCTGTAAGGATGGGCAGTGTCTGATTAGGACAGACAAGAAAACTCATGCAAGAGGGAGCTTGGGTTTTTCAAACAGCAAATGAAAGGACTTCAAGGCACCCAACTCTCATGTGTCCATCTGAGCAGCGGGTGAGCCTGCTCATGTCCTATATAGCTCCTTTCACTAAGTTCCACTACAGACCCAAACAGCAGGACTGCAGCACAGCCACGTTAACTAAATGTACCAGAGTTCAAACACAGGCGAGCGCCTCAGCATCACAGCATCCTCCTGCGCTTACAGCTCCCCACCACGTCTTCGTGACAAATGATTCCTGTGCCTTAAACTAACTGTCTTCTGGGAGGCCTGATTCCAGCAGCGCCCAGGGCTGGATCCTGGACTGACTGATCCCATGCTGCGGATGCTGCGGGCGGGAGCGGGTCCGCAGCTAACTCACAGTGCCTCTCCTGAGCGCAAACTGGATGGAGTCGAGGTCAGCCACAGGACACCAGACTTCAGCAATGAGGCACTTCTGCGTGACATCGATGTTGCAGAGGTTCAGGGTGTGGTAGATGGCCTTCATCTTGCGCACTTTGATGAACCACACGCGGATGTTCTTGGCAGCTGCCTGCAGGACCCGCTGCCGATGATCCTCTGTTTGGTTCAGCACCTTTCACAGGGAAGCAGGATGAAGATGAGGCCAAATCATTGGCCAAAACTCAAAGCGTACAGACGTGCACAGCAAAATGGGGCTGACCACCAGGACAAGCCCTACCCACCAGCAGACGACGAGCCCCCTCCCCGTCCCATGCACAAGACAGCCCCCTGCCCACAACGTATGCTTCAGTCTCTGTATTAACATAGCTCTGCTGAAAGGTTTAAAGGCTTCTTTCTGGGGTAATTTCTGACTACTTCCCTCCTCCACCTCCGGGGTCAGTGGGTATTTGAACAATGAACTGTTCAGAGAGCACAGAGGACATGTTTTCCTCCACCCAGGTTAACAGAGCAGAGTTCTGCAAATGAGGTGCACGTTGCCTTAAGAAAACACACAAATTACAAGGAAAGAGGTTTTGACTGAAGGGAAAAGGAGAAAGTGTTTTCTACTGAGGCTGTTTCCCAACTGGAACATACCTAACTCAGGCCAAGTCAGATTTCCAGACTGGAAAGTCCTAGTCTCAAGGGAAGGGGAGGACACAGGGCACATGCAGTTTTGAATCCTACTCAGTAAGTTGCTTCTGAGTTCTTGTCTACTTCAGAATTGCTAAAGAGCTGCACTCCACAACGCCAGCTCGAGGCAGCTTATCAAAGCAGCACTCCAAAGTTAACCATTTTCCTTTAAGTTTCTGAACCTTTTCTTATTGTTTGTCTCAAATCCCTTAAAATTTGACTGCATTATAACCCAGTGCCTCTCCTCCCTGAAGCAAGCATCAAGTATTCCAGAGCTGGCACCCAGGAGATTCATGTGCTCGTTACTTTTTACCAACACTCAGGTTGCTGCACAAGAGATTAGTTGTAAAGCAGAAGCTCTTCAGGACAGCACAACGTGAGAGTACAGACAGGCAGAAAAAGAGAAGAGCTAAGTTAAAGTCAGCATTGTTATCTCAGCTTGGAAATAAGAGTACGTGCTTTCAGAGTTCTGGCAGATGAAACAGGCAATCAGACAAGCATGCTTTCAGAGCTGGAAAACCTGCTATCTCCTTACACATGCATACTCCTCTCTGCTCCCTGGTATGCAGTTCTCTGTCAGTGCTGTACTTATCCATGGGTACAATGAACTGCTCAGCCCTCCAGAAACACTGACCCACCCCACCATCCTAACCCCTGGCAAAGGAAACAGCTGAGCTGCCTCCAAACATCTGTCTTGCACCGCTGAGCTGCTCGTCTTAAGCTGAGCTGAAAATAGAGTCATCTAATAGGGCCCAAAATGCTCATGTTTTGGTAGGATCCAAAGAAATTTTCAACTAGATTATTAAAAAGAAAAAAGGGCATTGACCCATTATTTTACCATCTGAAGATCATCAATTCTGGTATTGACACCAGAAGCCATTTCCTTCCGCTCCTGGGGTGTTTCTGGGCATGGGTAGAGGGAGGCACGGAATCTGAAAGACATGCAAGCCACCTTAGTAACAAAGATGGGAAGAGACAGAGCAGTCAGGGAAATAGCTGGCTGAGCCTGAACAAAGCAAGAAGCACCTTAAGAGAAGCTTCTGATCAGCAAGAATTGCCAAGCAGAGTTTTAGTCTTTAAATCAAATGGATACAGGAGTTTGCTTTCAGCCAAAACAGAAGCTGAACACTTCAGAAAACAGAAGTGGGAGAAAGTCCTCTGTTCCCTGTGCTGACAAGTGGCTCGAGGGCACTATCACACAGCCCATCAGCCACCCCAGCTCTGGGTGCTGCTCTCATGCCAACACAGCTGCTGCTGCAAGTACTCACTGCTGGTCTGCCCCATGAGCCTGTCATCCGCTCACAGCCCGCTGGGGCTGTCTGAGTTCAGCACTTGAACTCCCTTGCTCCGAGGCATTCTCTAGCCACACACTCATCTACTTTGAGCATGCCAGGCTTGGGGGGGCCTAGTTTGACAGTTAAATATGTTTCAGCTACTTATGGCACATTCTATTTGCTGTCAAAATGTGTACTCCCAGTGTCACTGTGAAATGAGGAGCTGAACAATCTCCATCTCAAGTCATGCCAATGTGTTTGGAGTATTGGAGAGAGCTGCCCAGCTGGAAGACTTGCATACCCTTCACAGATCTTCTTGACTCTGTTCTTCAGCTGGTCGCCTTGGAAGAAGATGATAAACACAGACTTATGCACATAATCCCCCTAGAACAGAAGAAAGAGCACAGTGTAATTGCCCCAGAAATCAGCATCACAGCAAACTGCAGCAGAGCTCTACTTTCCCTTCCCCTGGATCCATACACACAGAGCTTGTACCTGCACAGTCAGTCAAGAATGTACCTTACAGCACTTAAAGAGTCCCAAGGAAAGCCATTTTCTTAGCCTCAGAGTGGAATACCCCTACTTGTGTTACTGATGCAAAATGTTCTGGAGTCTCTATTATCAATTCTGTTTAATACAACAAACAGAGATCCTGGGCAGATCCCAGAAGAGCAGAGATGCAATGGAGCATGTCCCAGCTCTTCCTGCAGTCAGCTCACCTCAGAACCAAACAGAAAGCTAAAGAGTGAATGAAAATGAGACCAAGTGGAGTTTAACAGCTCCGACTCCCCAGGGAGGCCAAGGGCACATTCCTTGCTCTCGAGTGGGAGGCCAGGTCCCCTTCCTGCGTTTGTTGACAAGTTATTGTTCTACCTTACTTAGGAAATTTTAACATCATGTTTCAAGAATAATTACACAAGGTGTAACCTCGACTTGAGGAAGTGCTGCACAATAAGAACAAAGTCTCTCCTGGTAGACAGATAATTCAACAGGTCAGCTACCAGCAGCCGGTGGGACAGGAGGAGGATCTGCCTTCCCAGAGCAGCAAAGAGGCACTGACTGGGTTTCACCCCCGTGTTGCTGCAATCCAGCCTACATTCAGCCTTTCTTTTTAGCAGTTAAGAGCAACAGTACCCAAAGTTTGGGCACTGTTTGGGCTCAAGTTTGGGCAAAATGGACACCAAATGTAAAACCAGGCCCAATCACAACAGCTACTATTTGTATTGGTAAGAAAGCCAACAAACCTCAGGTGGATGTCTCAATTATTGATTAGCACATTAAGAAATAACAATGGGCCCAGGTTCAGGGGAAATGAGCTACAGATGTTACAGACTGCTCCTGTCCCTAAGAGCCCCTCTCAAGGAGGATTAGTTCCTATTCAGATAGCACACGTGAGTTGTTGTTTGTGCCAGAGAAGCAAATGTGCCCTCCTGCAGTCCCGAGTTCGAGTTGTTCTTCCCCTTTCAACAGCATCCACCATCATCCTGCTATTTTTGTTTTAATAAAGCATTAGTCACCACAGCCTCAGAGGCTGCAAGTGGGCGCTGTGAAGGAACACAACCCAAACATCTGCCTGCGTGGAGCTCACTGAAGGCCAGGGGTTTAGATGGATAGATCTGAGATCCCTTCACGCATCTGAGGGTTCTGCTGCTGTAAACAAGAGTTCCTGTTACCGTCACAGGATCCTCCAGGGGGTTTTCAATCTCTGCCTGGCGCAGGAACACGTTCCCTCGGCACACTCGCCACAACATGCGCTCGAACATGGGGATCCGCTCCCGGTTGATCACCCCGGCCACAAACCTGTCCAGGGCACAGCAAAAGATGAAGTTCTGCACCTGCAGGAAATCACAGCCTAACAGCCAGAGCACTGAGGGCAGCTGGAGCTCAGCATCACCCCAAGAGCTATGGAAATCTTGCTATAAAATGAGATCTTTAAGCAAAATGGCAGGTGCTCTAAACGCAGGGAGCTAAACCCACAACAACTGCACTAGAGCACCAGCTATGCCTCTGACCAGAATCAAGTGAAGAAAATACACAGCACGGGTTAAAGGAGAAATAAACGCATTCAGACACACAGTTTCTATGCCTGTTAGTCTTCACCTCAATAGGATCCTGTTACATTGCATGGCAAGGATTATAGCAGCCACGGCTGGCACTATGTGCTTCAGAAGACCTCAGTGGTTCAAACCCCTGTGTCTGGATAAACAGTCACACACATGCAAAGGCAGCCTGGAAGCAGCCAATAAAGAGGATACAGAACTATACAGCTTCTCAGAGTACTGTGTGCCCAGAGTAGTTGCTAGTTTCAACAAAGCTGAGAGCTGAGAACGTCTGAGCAAGCACCAGAACAGATTTACAGGGCACAAACTAGCACAGGGCTTTTGTGCAGGGAGAAACATGTGAAGCGCCAATATGAGCTGGGAAGCCAATGGGCACAGGACAAGAATGGGGACCAAGAGCTGGGTTTAGATCAGCCTTCGTCTGCTTGGTGTGCCAGTCTGGAAGGTTCCGCAACTGCACACAACTGGCTGCAGATGCCAGAGGCTGAATCCCAGGGATCTAAAGGCAGACAAAAGGGAGCCCAAGCTGCCATTACCCGAGTCGTAGCGGGGCACCTCTTCCCATCTCGCTTGGTTCCAGGAGTGAAGAGGATTCCTCCAACAGGTCTGGATCCGCCATCTGCTGATGATGCAATTCAGCCTGAATTCACAAATCAATTAATATCTAATGAAAGTGGTTAGTGGCATGCAGGGAGTGAGGAACCAGGAGAGAGACTGGGGAGCGAGAGAAGAAGGGGGAAAAAATGAATAGAAGACAGCAGAAAGAGGAAGGAGATGATAGAAAATACAGCAAGAAGCACACAAGGAAGGAGAAAAACAAGAGGAAAAGTGGAATGGCTCAGCAAAGCTTCCATACAAGAAAAGTCTGACTGCTGCAGGTGAACAGAGACTGTGGGATATGTAAGTCTGAAGAAAGGGAGAATTCAAACAAATTTATCAAGTTTATGTTCCCCAGCAGCCACAAACCAGAGTGAGACACTTCACCTCATCCTTCCCTGCCTCTGAAATGGAGGAAAATGTGAAGGTGGATGCTGATTCCCTCTTGGGCATCTTCTGCATATTCATGAAGATGCAAAAGGTGTTTCTAAGAGGTGCCTGGGAAATTCCACCTGTGTGTAAAGCAGCCTGGTCCTACACAAGAGGAAGATGCTCAGGTAAAGTCTTCCACAGAGGGTTCAGTCCATCTCAGGACCCCCTGCAGCTGCCCAAGGCCCTGACCCTACAATCACATCATCATTATTTCTACCTCTGCAGCTTATATAATGGAACGATGAGAATTGCAGCTCCTTAGCACAAACAGAGGCCAAACTCTGCCCCTCTGTGGTACACAGGAGGTCTCCCTACAATGGAATTGGCTAAAATACACTTGAAGGCAGAGTCTGACCCTGGAGCACGTGAAACGCACGCTTTCAGCACAGCCTTGCAACAGTCTATAGCAAGCTGAGTGATGCAGCCAGAGCTGCTTTGTGCAGCAGCTGCATCATCATTTTAGTGGACAGAAAAAGCAACCCTCTACATTTTACTTGCACATCAAATAAACATATTTGCCATACACAAGGAAAGGTTTTCCAAGGCTGACATCAAAGGCAGCTCAGCTGCCTGTGTCCACACTCGCTTTAGCTCACAGATGTTACACAAGAAAGGGAGCCCCTACTTGAGTTTAGAAATCCAACATGAAGGATTTCTGATGCATTGCTCAGTAGTCAAGATCTCGACCAGTTTTACTAAACAAGAACTTTCTTACAAAAGGACAATTTGCATAAGAAACCCCCATGACCCCACCTCATTTTAATTCATCTCTCAACTACTTAGATTTGATGATCACACCCTTTCTGGAAAGGAAATGCCACAGCACCCCCAGCTCTGGTTCTGGAAGGACAACTAAAGCAGTGTTCCAAGGTTTAACAGAAATAAACCCCAAGAGACAGTGTGCAAATGAAAGAGCGCTCCAGCTACAAGGCAGAGAAATAAGACTCTAGGAAATCTGCTTGGAATAAGAGCTTTCACCAGCAGCATGTGAAATAGCAGAGTGATTGTGAAGCACTTCTTACATCAGGTTGTTCTGGAGGAGAGAAACCCAAGCATTTGCATGCCAGTGATTAGAAAGGAGACCTCCCATTAATAAACACTTTTAATTGCTTTTTGTTCACTCAGATCAGAACCTTTATCTCCACCAGCATCTTTAATCTCATGGCCTGAAAACCAGGTTCCTTCTCCCTCCTCCCGATCTCAGTCCTGCTCTGGCTCCCTGCACCCTGCCATACAATTCAAGCCCCTCCCAGTGCACGAACAGAGAGAAAACCAGTTTTCACACGAACTAAAGGGGATTCATTTCACCACCAACTTATTAACCCAGAGCCCAGACAGAAACGACAGAGGCAAACAGAAACAAAGCAGGTGGTGAGAAGAGTCAGAGGAGAGAGAGGTGGGGAACTGCATGCCATTAACCATTACTTTTCCAGTCTTCTTTTACGCTCACACTCTAGGCAAAGCTTTCAGAGAAATCTCTCCAGCTCATACTGTTCTTCATAAGCAAGGACAAGAAGACTGAGAAAAGGAGCATAATCATCAACATGGTACGTTGAAACAAGAAATGGCTACAGGGTCCTGTGAGGAACAGGCATAAAAACGTTGCCACCCTCCCCCCAGTGCAACTCCAGAAGGCAAACACCCAGACTAAAGTCATTTGGATTGTGAAGCCATTTCTTGTGCAACTTACTACTATGAGTAACACGATCTTAATTACAAGTCATTGGAGTCTTCGAGTGTTGAAGGTACTGTGCAAATGACAGCATGAAGAAACAAGTGCTCATGCTCGGGATAACAAGACGTTGAGGTTGCTCTGACACACAGCAGTGCATTTATGGCTTGTGGTTTGGCTGATGGTTACAGAAACCAGCTATCAGGAGGAGCAGGCACCCATCGAAACGTCCTGTGGTCAGTGCACTGGAGCGGGACCTCGGTTCCCTTTGTGGGTGACCTGATGAAGACTCTAAGAAAATGGATTTGGATCTCAGCTGGTGTGAGCACACAGCAGCAGGCAGCCCCCTCCGGAGTGGGCAGGAACCACCCGCACCCAGGTAGCTCAGGCTGGCAGCAGCACCTGAGGCAGCCAAGTGACAGCGGATCAGGTTAATGCTGTTTGTCCAGGGGGACACTGAATGAACGTTCAACACTCGAAGGCGTTTCTCTTAACTGAAACCAAGCCCAGGACCAATCAACCCATCACAGCAGCAGCAGTATCTCTGTCAGCACAGACTAAGACTTGTGTTGGTACAGGAACAACCCAGATGCCTGAACAGGCTGAACCCTGTGCCAAAAACCCAAACCCCAACCGTTAGCTAAACGGGCTGAAGCTTGCAGGAGCCCAGCTCTACCTCATCACAGCCTTTGTATACACCAGAAGCCAAATGCAGTAAGAACTCTTTGATCAAACCCTTGCATTAGATGAAACAGGACATATACTCAGCTAAAACATGTCCTTCTGAAAAACACAGGGCAGCTCTTTGAGAAACCACCCTGGACTCTGAGATACTTAAGCTTTACTAGGAAGGATTATGCCTTCTCCCCTGTGGGCTTTATGTGGGCATCATGAATGAGATCAGAGAAGCTCTTCTCAGGTCCAGTGAAGGAGTTGCCAGTTTCTGGCCCAGCTGCAGTCAGACAAAGTGTTGAAGATTTTAAACTGCAGCTTTGCTCCAGAACTTCCCTCCCAGAACTTCAGGGTTTGATCAAAGGCTCAATTAAATCAATCATCAATTACTTCAGTGGACTTTGTATTACGACCCTAAGGAGTAATCTCCACGTAACATTCCAAAAGCTGAAGAGCAATGAAGCTTGACTGCAATTCCTCTGTGTGAGGCAGGACACTTCACCTGCCTATGTACCAAAGAACTTACCCACTGCAGGAAAGGCTCGACTGTAGCACCAAGGCTTTGGTCTGCTGAAGTGCTTCAAAAACTACCAGCACCTTTGTGACTTTGCACAATTCTGAGACAAACCACTGCTTAACTAGAACAAGCCCAAAGCAACAGCATAAGAGGTAAACCATGGGTAGATGTGTGTACTGCATGGAGCATGGAAAACCAATTGAGCAGCTGGCTTCAAGCACAGAGATGGCTCTGCTGTCCAAACCAGCAACTAAAGGATATCTGAGACCAAAACTGGTGATGTGTGGGGGAAGAGCCAGCTCCCCAGGTGTCAGCCCCCATATTCTGACCTCATCAAAGAACTGCTGAGTTTTACGCAGGATGAATTTTAACTCTGTCAGCTCCAGGAAGTTTCTCTTCAGCGCTTCCTGGTTCGTGTTGATTTCCTTAAGCTCATTTTCAATTTTCTCAAAGTTTGCCTGCAAGACGATGGGAAAAGGAGAAAGAAAAAGGGATTAAAGCAATTCCACAGCCAAGCGCTGTTAGGTGTGGTCAAACGAGGGAGCAGGCAGGATGCTTCACGTCCCCACGTGATTGCAGCGTGGCTCCAGCCCCCACGGGACACAGCTCCAGGCTGGGACATTCTCTACAGGCTTTTACAGAGTGCCAAGGCAGACTTTTATAGACTGAATGAACCCAGTGTTCTTCACATCGTTAAAAACCCTCCCAAGCCTTAGAATGACCACTGCAAACCAGGCAGCTCCAGCAGTTTTGCCCTCATTGAAGTGGGTGAAATGCCTTTTAAGTCTTTTTACTTCTAATTGTATTTGGGCAAATGCAGAAGCAAACAACGCCAGTGAATAAAGCTCAGCCTGGTGTGAGCGGGCAGAGCTCATGCTGCAAGTGGCAGCTGGGGACAATGCTTAAAGCACCTTTGCCACTACATTCACTGGGTTCCACCAGTGGAAATGTCTTCCCCTGTGTTCATGTAAAGCCAAATACTAGTTGAGTCTTAACACACATCCTCACCTCCAGGTCGATCATGTCACGTGGAAAAGGCACCTCTGGGTTTTCACCAGTATCCATGATAGGAATATTTGCTTTTTTAATCTCCTTCTCCACAAACCCTGGAGAGACAGCAATTATTAGTGGTAACCAGAATGTACTCCAATGTCAAACTGTCACCGCAGCCTCCTCCCAGCCCCAGCTGGGAATTCTTTCACCCTCTGTTCCAAGATGTCTTGATTAAGGAACAGGCTGCCCAGAGGAGCTGTGGCTGCCCCATCCCTGGCAGTGTTCAAGGCCAGGTTGGACACAGGGGCTTGGAGCAACCTGCTCTAGTGGAAGGTGTCCCTGCCCGTGGCAGGGGGTTGGAGCTGGAGGGGCTTTAAGCTCCCTTCAACCCAACCCGTCTGTGATGCTGTGATTGTCTCTCAGGCAGGAAACAAGCCCCTGAGGTGGTTTGACCGGCTGGAGCACAGAGCCCCGGCAGGCTCCGCCCCTTTGCAGCCCAGCGCTGCCTCGCAGCGTTGCCCTCGCTGCTCGTTTCTGCTGGGGGAGCTCAGAGCAGGGCCCTGTGGAGGGAACGTACGGAGCTTTCGGTCCATCTCTTCGCAGCGCCTCACTTCATTGACGAACTTGCGCTGGAACACGTTCACG